CAGTTGGCAAATGCATTTACTATTTGTGCTTGAAATGGGGGGAAACATTCTACTGGTTGGACTCCAGTAGAATATTGGTTAATTCAATTGAAAAGAGTAAATATTTAATACCATTCCTTCCTTTTATAAAGAATTTAAAGCCGGGCATTGGTGGCTCACGCCTGTAATCTTGGCTACTCAGGAGGCTGAGATCTGAGGATCGCAGTTCAAAGCCAGACTGGACAGAAAAGTCCGTGAGACTCTTAGTTCCAATAAACCACTCAAAAATCTGGAAGTGGCACTGTGGCTCAAGTGATAGAGCGCTGGCCTTGAGCCAAAGATATGAGGGGCAGTGCCTAGGCCCAGAGTTCAGGTCCCAAAACCAACAAAAAATAAGATTTTATTGAGTAAAGCTGTACAAATAGTATAGAAGTTGAAAGTATAGGTCTGGAACTGAACCAGAATGGAAGAAAATACTTTCAGTTTAATCTAAACGTGGGGATTAAAGACAGAATCAACCAGAATTAAGTCAAGTGCTGGGGATGTGGCTCAAGTGGCTACTGAGCTAGTACAAGGTCGTGGGTTCAAATACTAGTGCCACAAAAATAAAAAACAATTCAAGTAATGAAAAGGCAGAAATCAACCCCCTTTAAAAACTAGACCTCACTAATAATTATACATAACTCTAGCATATTTTTCAATTTTAATTTTTTTTTTTTGCCAGTCATGGGGCCTGAACTCTGGGTCTAGGCCCTGTCCCTCGGCTCTTCAGTTCAAAGCTAGTGCTCTACCACTGGAGCCACAGCGCCACTTCTGGCTTTTTCTGTTTATGTAGTGCTGAGGAATCGAACTCAGGGCCTCATGCTTGCAAGGCATGCACTCGACCGCTGAGCTACCTTCCCAGCCCCATCAATTGTAATTTTTTATATAACAAAATTTGACCTACAATCAACTCATGCTTCCATGGGAAATACAGAAGAGCTCTCGGAGTCTTTTCTAAAAGATTATAATCTAATCTTATTGTGGAACCTAAATAGGAGAATAAAATTGGAGAATAAAAACCACCACTACTCCCAAAAGAACGGCTCAGTAGGTATAAAGGGAAGATTATCAAACTTGAGGGCAAAGGAATCTGTATCACAGATAAATGAGGAATTGGAAGTAGGGCTGCTTTGTTTTGTCGGTAGTACTATGGTATTGAACTTGGAGCCCCATTTGAGCCATGTCCATAGCCCTATAAGGTGAAATTTTGAATCAAACTTTAAGAATTATAAAATAGGAAAGACTGGAAGTCAAAAGCAACTTTTCAAATTGGAAGATCAGCATGAACCCACTGGGTTCACACATGAAGGTCATAGACACATATGAATGCCATTAGTGCACACAGAGGAAAGCTCATGTCAGAAAGCAAAAGAAAATACAAGGTTGAAGACAGTCTAGATATTATACAAGTCCCAACTCTTCCTTTCATGATTTCCTAAATGCAAGATTGTAACAATGGGTCTGGGAAGGTAGCTCAGCCGTAGAGTGCTTGCCTTGCAAGCATGAGGCCCTGGGTTCGATTCCTCAGCACCACATAAACAGAAAATGCCGGAAGTGGCGCTGTGGCTCCAGTGGTAGAGCACTAGCCTTGAGCTGAAGAGCTGAGGGACAGCGCCCAAGCCCAGAGTTCAGGCCCCATGACTGGCAAAAAAAAAAAAGATTGTAACAATGTTTCAGTACCAATGTTAATTAGTAACTGTTGCCCAGAGTTCTATGAATGTTTTGTTTGGTCTTTAACACAGAATTTCACTTTTTAGCCAAGGCTGTCCCAGAAAACACTACATTACTGCCTCCAACCTAAATGCAGAGATAGGTATCTGCCTAGACTGGCTCCATAATCTTCATAAAGTAGGTGACATCATTTTATAAGAATGAGATATCAGAAATGGAGCCTATGGGGAGGTTGCCAGTGTGACTAAGAAGTGATGAGAGACCTTTGAAAAGAGACTGCAAGTAGCCAGGCACCAGTGGCTCATAGCTGTATTCATAGCTGCCCAGTAGACTGAGAGCTGAGGATTGTGGTTTATAGCCAGCCTGGGCAGGAACTCTGTGAGATACTCACCTCCAATTAACTACAAAAAGTGTGGAGCGCTGGCTCAAGTGGTAGGGCACCAACTGTGAGCCAAAAAGCTGAGACAGCACCCAGGCCCTTAATTCAAGCCTCAGTAATACACACACACACACACACACACACACACACACAGAGTGAGCTAAGGAACTATACATATAACTCATTCCACCACAGCTCTGTGGTAGGGTAGGGCAAAAGGGAAAAAAAAGAAAGCAGGCAGGTGGGGTTAGTCTTAGGAATAGATACAGTGAATGTTCCTGCTTCTTCCTGCTTATTTACAGGCTGAAAGCTAACTCATTCAATACCAAGGGCAAGTTTCAAATTTCAATATCTACGTCTGTAGATCACCTCATTATGCAAAAATAGTCCCTTCCTTACTTTTCATTCACTAGAGATTGTGGTCACTCATAGGATAAAAAAATATCTCAGCAGATTCCTTTCTTTGAGTTTAAGAAGCTGACTTGAAGAGCCAGTGTTCGGTCCTTCTTCCTCCTTTAATAAGCACTAGTAACTGATGTGTACACACATCAGCTTCTTGTGCCAAGTATATGTGTGTCAGTACTGGGGTTTTGAACTTAGGACCTCAAATTCTCTTTGCTTTTTCCACTCATGGCTTGTGCTAAATCACTTTGAATCATTCCTCACTAATTGGAGGTAAGTTTCACAGTTTTGTCTGCACACATGTCAATCCTCACATCTCAGCCTCCTGAGTATCTAGGATTATAGTCATTGGCCACTGATGCCCAGCTCTCACTTCCTCATAATAAAAATAAATTAGGTTAAAAGATTGTGCTGGAGAGGCTGGGAAGGTGACTCAGTGGTTAGAGTCCTTGCTTTGCATGCATGAGGACATGGGTTCAATTCTTCAGCACTACATAAGAAGAAAAAGCCAGAAGTGGTGCTGTGGTTCAAGTGGTAGAGCACTAGCCTTGAGCTGAAGAGCTGAGGGACAGTGCTCAGACCCAGAGTTCAGGCCCCATGACAAAAAAAAAAATTAAGCTGGAATTACAAAGCTATTGGCAGCAAGGTAAGATATATACATCTATTCTAACAAATAATCAAACAAGCAACAAATCCTATGAAGTTCTCTTCCCCTCACTATACTAGGGATTGAACCCAGGATCTTATACTACTAGCTAGGCAAGTTCTTTATCACTTGAGCTATGTTTCTAGCTTTGTTTGTATTTGGGTTTTTTATTTAGTTTTTTGAGACATGACCTTATTATTGTCTGGGCTGTCTGTGAACTCATAATCTTCCCATATCCACCTTCTAAACTGCTGGGATTACAAATGTGTCTTACCATATTCAGCCAAAGCTAGTAACTTTTTTTTTTTTTTTTTGGAGGGGGGGGTCCAGTCATGGGGCCTGAACTCTGGGCCTGGGCGTGTCCCTCAGTTCTTCAGCTCAACGCTAGCACTCTACCACTTGAGCCACAGCGCCACTTCTGCCTTTTTTCTTTTTACTTATGTGGTGCTGAGGAATGGAACCCAGGGCCTCATGCATGCAAGGCAAGCACTCTACCACTGAGCCACCTTCCCAGCCCAGCTAATAACTTTCTTACATATTTATGATTTGTCTATAATTAAAATTATGGTGAAAAGTTTATGATTGTTTAAAAAACACAAGTCTGATTACAATACTAGACTTTTCTAATAAGTGTTCCTAATTTGACACCACTTAATAAACTATCAAGTCATCATTGGTATAGATTTACTTACCATGTTACAAATGTTGATAACTAGCTATTTCCAGTTCTTAGATATTACTTTCTGTGGGTATTCAATTCACAAAACCACTTTATTACCAATTGCCACATTCAAGACTTGGAAAAGGGGCTGGGAAGGTAGCTCAGTGGTATAGTGCTTGCCTTGCATGCATGAGGCCCTGGGTTCCATTCCTCAGCACCACATAAGCAGAAAAAAAAAAGACTTGGAAAGATTAAGGTTCACTTTACTAAGATATAAGTGAGATTATACTGAATGTCTGACCTTTTAAATAATCTGAGTCTCTTTTTTAATGCCTACTGGCTAACTCTTGTTGGAGCTATGAATAAAATGATCAAAAGTTAGTTAAGGGATGACAACCAAAGACTATAGACTGATTTACTAAGTTAGCTAGTATCTTAAAAAAAAAAAATCACAAAATTCTGTGTAACACAGAAAAATATAAAAACCACAACTCAATGTCTATAGCTAAGAATAAATCATGTGAAACCTGTTACATTTTATTTGTTAAAAATGAACAGCTTCATAATAGATCTAAATGGAACTTTTCCAAAAAACACCAAAAAGTACAGTGTAAAGCACCTTCTCATTAAATACAAACTTTCATTTTGTGATGCACTGCATCAATGTTTTGCATACATCTTGATGCAAAAGAAATTTCAAGTGGCATCTTGTTTTTTAAAAAACCTAGGAACTGAACAAAAATGATTACACATTTCAAAGAAAGGAAAAATTCCTCTAGCAAAGCATATTGTTTTGTTTATATACAATGCTAATACACAAAGGTTTTAATTTAGTTGTACCAAAGGCAAAAATTATTTAAATGTAAATTAAATTACAAATGCGTGAAGAGCAGACATCTAATATACCAAGGACACTGTTATTTGATGTACTTAATGTTAATATATGGGGCAATTTTTAAAGTTTACCAAAAAATGGCATGAATAATCTGTGTAATATTTTAAATAACAGGAAAATGAGAATACCTTTATACCATATTTTCACCAACAGTTTTAAAGACAGTAAACTCACACTCAATTGTTTTTTCTTTAAAACAAGCTACCAGCAATTCTAAACCAGTCTATAATAGATCAAATAGAAGAATTATAGATCTAATAGAAGAATTCAGACTTTCAAAAATAGTTTACAATGAGTTCTTGGCTTCTATGAAAAGCCTCATATATAGTGAAGGAGAGACTAGAGTTTATTTTCAAATTCTGTGATGGCTCCCAATAAGTAATTCCTTATTAAACAGAAGTACTGGCATTAAGGATCAGATTTAATTCTTTGGTATAAGCATGAATCTGTTGCTGATCGCATTCTATGGTTAGAATAAACCGAGTAAACCAAGGAGCATGAGAGGCAATGAAGTCTAATATACAATACAAGGAAAACAGGAGTGGTAAATTTTGCTTTATAGAAAAAGTCAACATTTAAACACCAGAAACCTAACACCTACAGGCTTATACAAATTATAGCAAACTAAAGGTCAAACCTCAAACTGACCAAACTTGTTCAATTGAACCAGGAATATTTTGCTGCATTTTGGCATTTTACTATAATCTATGTACAATGGTCTGAGGAGTCTTAGCATTATCTTGGCACATCAGACCAACTCTGCTTACCAGTCCAGAGTCAGAAAAAAACTTTCTCCCTATAAATGTCTGAACTTAGTATCATACAAAAAAAAATCAAAATACAAGGTATACAACAATGGTACAATGTAATTCCAATTTGGCAATTTTCCTTTGAAACAAGTATATTTTTTGGAGCTAGAAATTGTTAATTTAGCAAGCTTAATAGATTACAATTTTTAACTTTGAATAAGAACAGTTTAGGACTTATGGCTATTAAGTTTACTATCAAAATATCTAAGTGACTCAGTCCATCTTAAAATTTTTTCTTATAAATATCATTTGAAGAATAATTTGTAGACACTAAACCCAAAGAATATACCTATAACTGGTATTTTGAAGTATTTCATCTAAGTTTCTGGTCTTTCAAATTGCTATTTCCTTTAATGCTTTCTTCATTTATCAAACAACAACTTTTAGTATTTTACAATCAACCTTATCCTCTAAAGTATTGGATAACTTTGTAAATATCCATTTATAGTAAAGAAACATCAACATTTTAAGCTGAGACATATTAATATAAGAGAACCACATTCCTGTTAAAAGTTCAACATTAAAAAATTAAAAGTTGGGAGTTTAACTTAATTCTATCTGAAAAATGAACTAAGTTCCAGATATTTCCATAAATCCTGAAAGCCAAAATTGAAATTCTCAAAAAGCTTTTTTTTTAAAAAAAAAATATATATAACTAATGAAGAAAGGCAACAGCACTTATATCAACACTATTCAAAGGTAAATGACAGCAACAAAGGGGGCTACATATATATCCAAAACTAAGATTTACCATGGCCAAGAGCCAAAAAATGGGCAAAGGTGATGAGATCCTACATGCCACTCTCATAAAAATAAGCAATTTCTATCTTTCTGTCTTCCTTCTGCTGCTTGAGGCACCAAAGAAGCCAAGAGAGAATTGTTCTGTCTGGGCCAACCAAGAAATCTTTAAGAACATATATGTATATTCCCTGTTATTCTTTCATGGGATTATTTTATACATTAAAAAAAAACCTTCAAAAATAAAAGTTATTTAGCCTTCTAAATATTTTGAAGTAAAGTTTCTTGAATTTCTGTGACGAATTCTTCAAGCAATTCAACTTCTCAAACAGTCATCACTGAAAAGTTCCTTTGACAAGGGAGCTTATCCCACAGTTACAAAGCGACTTCCTCCTTTGTTGAATGTGAGAGTGGCTCTTTGCTCCTTCAGTATCCCAAATCTTTCATTCAAAGTCATCCCTGTCTACAGAAAGGGAAAAAAAAGAACTTGACTCAAAACCTTACTTGCATTGGAACAATATGATCTTATGATTAAGCTACAAATATGTATGTGTATGAGCTCATGTGACCCTTACAAAGACTACATGAAATAGATGAAGTTAAGATATGTTTGCCTAGTTAGGTGGTGAAAGTGTGACATGGGTGGTAGAGCACTTGCCTAGCAAGTACAAGGCCCTAAGTTCAAACCTCAATACCACCAAAGGGTATGGAGTTACTATATAATCTACCACCTAGGTATTTAACAAGGAGAAATGAAAACATAGGTCCACACAAAAACTTGTATACACTGTTGGTCAAAGAAGTATTATTCATAATAGTCAAAAGAGTAGAACCAACATTAAATAAGATATAGTACATATTATGGAATTACACCATAAAAAGAATGAAATACGAAAACAAATGAACCTTGAAAACTTTATGGTAAGTAAAAGAAGTCAGGGACAAAGATCAAATATCTTATAACCCAACTTATACAAAACATCAAAACAGGGGAACTACAAGAGACAGAAATCAGGTTAGCGATTGCCAAAGTTTGTTGGGAAGGTTAAAGTGTTTTATTTACTGTACAAATACTGTCAATGAATGTCTTAAATACAGAAAACTTTTTTTTTACCTGTTTTCCAACACTATTTATGTCAAATTGTAGGGGAACGCCTTTAGGAACTTTCTTTACATCAGATTGCTCTCGTTTTGTCATAAAGGAAGGTACAGGAGTACGAGTTAATCTTGGTTTCTGAGCGCTATCAGAAAGAAAAAGCTACTGTTAGCTTGAAAATTAAAAAAAAAAGATTAATGGTTTGAACTCATATTCAAATGCCTTAGGTCTATTTTTTTAGGTAGCTGCACCTGCAATGAAATGTTCTTCTATAGAATATAAGCTTTAAAAAGACAGTTGGCTCTTGACTAAAAATTATAATTGTTCATAGAATATCTCAAGTATAACTACAAAACTTTCAGCCAAGCACCAGTGGCTCACATCTGTAATCCTAGTTACTCAATAAGATGAGATCTGAGGATCATGGTTCAAAGTTAGCCCTAGAAGAAAAGTCCATGAGACTCATCTGCAATTAATCACCAAAAATCCAGAAATGGATCTGTGGCTCAGTATAGCACTAGTCTTTAGAAAAAAGCTCAAGGGGGCTGGGAAGGTGGCTCAGTGGTAGAGTGCTTGTCTTGCATGCATGAGGCCCTGGGTTCGATTCCTCAATACCACATAAGTAGAAGTGGTGCTGTGGGGCTCAAGTAGAAGAGCTGAGGGACAGCACCCCGGCCCAGAGTTCAGGCCCCATGACTGACAAAAAAAATCTGTTGTAAGATACTGAGAGAATAAAAACATCATTTCATTGGGCTGGGAAGGTGGCTCAGTGGTGCCTGGCATGCATGAGGTCCTGGGTTCAATTCCTCGGCACCAAATAAGCAGAAAAAGCCGGAAGTGGTGCTGTGGTTCCAGTGGTAGAGCGCTAGCCTTGAGCTGAAAAGCTGAGGGACAACACCCAGGCCCAGGGTTCAGGCCCCATGACCAGCAAAAAAAAAAAAGAAAAAGAAAAAAGCTCAGGTATAGCTCCCAGGCCTCAAGTTCAGGCCCCAGGACACACACACACACACACACACACACACACACACACGCACGCACGCACGCACATGCACACACGCAGCACACGCGCGCGCGCGCGCGCGCGCACACACACACACACACACACTTTGAGCAATTTTAAATAACTGTTGATTTCTTTTTCTTTTTCTTTTTTTTTTGGTTGGTCAATGGGGCTTGAACTCTGGGCCTGAGCCCTGCTCCTTGGCTCAAGTGCTCTACCACTTGAGCCACAGCCCCACTTCTGCTTTTCTAGTGGTTTATTCGAGATAGAGTTTCATGGACTTTCCTGCCTGGGCTGGCTTTGAACTGAAATCCTCAGATCTCAGCCTGAGTAGCTAGGATTACAAGCGTAAGCCACTGGCAGCTAGCACAATTGTTGATTTCTAAGACTAAAGTCCTTCAAATCAAGTAAGCTGTAGTCTTAAAAGATCCAATCTACATTCTTTTCAGTTCAGTGATAAAGATGGCTAAATAGATCAGAAATTCTGTAAGCCTAGAAAGTTTATTATAGTACAATAAATATAACAAAATGTTTATGTAAATTAACATCATCTAGATAAAAGAATATACTGTAAGGTCTTTAAAAAGGTTAGTCTTACTAGGAAGAGGGGAAGAAAGGAAAAAACAAGTATGTGCAGTATCATCCCTTTTACATCCATATATACATTTATTTATTTATTTGTTTATTGTGCTAGTCCCAGGGCTTGAACTCCAGGGCCTGGGCACTGTTCCTTAGCATTTTTTGTTCAAGGCCAGTGCTCTACCATTTGAGCCATACCTACACTTCCCACTTTTTATTTTTGGAAGTTCATTGGAGAAAAGAGTGTCAAAAGACTTTCTATCCTAGCTAGCTTCAAATTGCAATCTTTAGATATTAGCTACCTCAGTAGCTAGGATTACAGATGTATTAGCTACCACTCCCAAGCTCCATATGTACATTTTAAAATGTATGATTAATTTTAAATGTATAATTGTTACACTTGAATAAAATTTTAAAAATAAAAATAGAAGTAACTGGCATGGTGGCTGACACTTGCTTATATTTCTAGCATTCAGGAAGCTGAGGCAGGAGGATCAAGTTCAAAGCTAGCTTGGGCTATATAGTGAGACTATTTCAAAAAAGCAAAACCCGGGGCTTGGAAGGTGGCTTAGTGGTAGAATGGGTTCAATTCCTCAGCGCCACATAAGCAAAAAAGCTGGAAGTGGTGGTGTGGCTCAAGTGGTAGAGCGCTAGCCTTGAGCTGAAGAGCTGAGAGACAGCACCCAGGCCCAGAGTTCAGGCCCCACAACTGACCAAAAATAAAAAAGCAAAATCCATCTATCTATTTATCTCTTGATCCATCTATCCATCAGTAAAAAAAAAAGTCATTAAAAAGGGTTATGGCGGTATCGAACCAGTGATCCATGGTAGTTTTCACTTTTACTTATACTACTTCCAATTTGTAGCACAAGTAATAAGTAATACTTTTGAATTTAACTCCCTCCTAACTTGAACATCATATTGTGAACACAGGTCCAGTACTGTTGTGCAAAAAGAAAGAAAAGACTTACACTGGGTTCTGAACTGCTGCAGGATTGTCAATGGATACTGTAAGAATTCCTCCATTTGTAGTGGAAGTACGCCATCTAGTTTCAAAAGAAAACAAGTTTCACTAAAGTGATGTTCATAAATCCTCTATCTCATATAAAGATATTCCATCCATCCATCCATCTATTTGCTACCCATCTACCTACCACTCATCTACCTACTCACTTACTTACCTAACTACTCATCCATTTTGGTGCTAAGGAACCTATGATCTATGTGTTAAGAAGGTGTTCTACTGAGCTACAATCCCAGTTTCAAAATATGTAGCCAGGTGCCAATGGCTCATACCCATAATCCTAGCTACTCAGAAGGCTAGATATAAGCATTGCAGTTCAAAGTCAGTTCAAAGACCATGTGATTCTTATCTCCAATTACCTACCCCCCACAAAAAAAAGCTGGAAGTAGAGCTATAGTTCAAGCCCCAGAACAGACAGACAGACAGACAGACACACACACACACACACACACAACACACACACACCATACACAGTGAAAATAGATATTTTAGAAACAGTCATTACTTTTGAGGTTTTAAACACACAACACTGAGGACCCCAACATGATATCTTAATCAGCATCTTAAATTATTAAATTTTTAACACAATAAATAAATATACAAACTTCAGTTGGGTGCTGGTGGCTCACACATATAATAATAGCTATGTAGGCTGAGATTTGAGAATTGCAGTTCAGAGCTAGCCTAGGCAGACAAATCTGCCAGATGTCAGCAAAAAGCCAGTATTGGGGAAAACAGCTCAAGTGATAGAGCAACAGCTGTGAGTGAAAAAGCTTAGCAAGAACACAAGGCCCTGAGGTCAAGCTCACTACCAGAAATGAAAAACAAAACAAAACTGTATACTTTTTTTTAAAATCAAATACAGAAGCAGCTTCTAATAAAACCTAACAATCTTTCACCTCATAGTCTCTTTCTTCCCATTTTTGTTCTCCAGAGTGGCTCTTCTAACTTTTCCTGTTTTCTGTTTTTGTTTTGTTTTTTGGTCAGTGGTGGGGCTTGAACTCTGGGCCTGGGTGCTGTCCCTCAGCTCTTCAGCTCAAGGTGAGCGCGCTCTACTGCTTGAGCCACAGCGCCACTTCTGGTTTTCGAGTAGCTTATTGGAGATAAGAGTCTCACAGACTTTCCTGCCCGGGCTGGCTTTCAACCTGATCCTTGGATCTTAGCCTCCTGAGTAGCTAGGATTACAGGCGTGAGCCACTGCAACCAGCTGGGTTTTTTTTTGTTGTTGTTGTTGTTGTTGTTTTGTCAGTGGTGGGGCTTGAATTCTGGGTCTGGGCCCTGTCCCTCAGTTCTTCAGCTCAAGGCTAGAGCTCTACCACTTGAGCCATAATGCCACTTCCAGTTTTCTGAGTGGTTTATTGGAGATAAAGAGTCTCACAGACTTTCCTGCCTGGGCTGGCTTTGAACCTGGCTTTGAACCACAATCCTAAAATCTCAGCCTTGTGAGTAGCTAGGATTACAGGTGTGAGCCACTAGCATCTGGCCTTTTCCTGTTTTTCTAGTTCAGTAAATATGATGTTTTATAAGCTGGGCACCATTGGTTTACACCTATAATCCTAGCTATTTAGGAGGCTTGAGATCTCAGAATAGATTAATGAGCAAAATGCCAGAAGAAGTATGGCTCCAGTGGTAGAGTACCAGCCTTGACAGAAAAAGCTAAGCAAGATTTTAGGCTCTGAGTTCAAAATGCAGTGTCCATCTGTGCAAACATTTACTATATTGCTATAATGAATAAATTTATCACATTATTCTCTAGTTTCTGTATGTCCCAAAAAATATTGTTCCTCTGTACTGTTATTTAAATCACACATTTCTTCTAGCAGTATCTCTTGAACTACTCCTCACTCTTTCTTTCCACCTTTTCTCCCACTTTGTATCTTCCACTATTCATGAGCCCTCCCTTTTAGATGATTATTACATAGTTATTATTATTTTGAGACAACCTTGCTATGTAGCCTGGGCCTCAACTGAACTTGTAATTCTCCTGTTCTGGCTTCCAATTACACCTGACTACTACCTGCCAATTGCTTTATTAGCCAAAATTTGAAATTTATATTATATTCTAGTCTTTTTTTGGGGGGGGTCCGGTCGTGGGGTCTGAACTCTGGGCCTGGGCACTGTCCCTCAGCTCTTCAGCTCAAGGCTAGCACTCTACCACTTGAGCCACAGCGCCACTCCCGGCTTTTTTCATTTTGCTTATGTGGTGCTGAGGAATCGAACCCAGGGCCTCAGGCATGCAAGGCAAGCACTCTACCACTGAGCCACCTTCCCAGCCCTATATTCTAGTCTTAAAATGACTATTTTTCACTTTGTCCACAGGTTGAGTCTCAAAAGTCCAAAATAAATAAATGGCATATAATATCACTATTATGTAAACACTGTTCATTGCAGAAGCAAAGAGGCTCTCATTATTATTGTCCAGTTATTTTTCATATATAGTCTTGGCGTTTTTTTTTTTTTTACTTGAGAATAGCTTTGGAACATGACTCTCCTATCAATGGCTTTCTATGTAGCTGCAATCACAGTACGTGCTACAATGTGGTGGCCAGCTGTTGACTGAGGTAGGTCTGTTTTTGCCCAGTCTGACCTCAAACTGCAATTTCTGCCTCTAAGAGGGTGGGCTTACAGGCTTACTCCACCACTCTCAGTCCCATTATTTATTATCTTCCTTATGGTTTCTCATGTCATGGCTCCTATGCTAAAGAATGGTGCCAATATGAAGTTCACATAGTTTATTTTCCTACACTGACTAGGTAAAATCATACTTACTATACTCAGCATCACATCTAAAACCATGACAATGTTTTACTTTGCAAAAGCAGTGGTAATTTTTAATAGTTTCATCTCAAAGCCTGATGGAAATTGATGGAAATGTTACACATCTCACCTCAGGAAATATAATTATAACAGACAAAAATACGTTTGAGAAGGTTTTACACTGTCATACGTGAAAATATTCCATTGTTTAAAATTTTACAAGCCTTCTAAAAGCTTTACTAAATTTTCTTCTATTCATTCCAAATACGTTTATACAAAAACAGAAAAAATTCATTAAGATAAAAGAAAATAGGTTATCAAGAATATAGTAACTTACTTTGTGCTAAAACAGTTACAATGCTTACATAAGAAAACTCAAAAGGTTTTTGTGATGCTGGGGATTAAGCTCAATGGTAGAGTGCTTGCCTAGCATGTATAATATCCTGGGTTTAGTTCCTAGCCCTTAAAAAAAAAAGTATTTGGAGAAAAAAGGAACAAAATTAGATTTCAGGCTTAATACCATTTTGGGCATCATCAATTTCACTCACGCTAAGGCACATGGTAATTTGGGGGTAGCTATAGTCTGAGTTTTAAAATGACATCTTGAAAAACAAATTGAAACTTACTGACGCGTTCTCTTTGCTACTACATCTTCTAGCAGCTGTTCTGTGTTCACCTGGGCCTGAACCTAAAGGAGGGAAAAAGCAGTAGATCCTATAGAAAGCAGAGGATTTGAATCCAAACAGCCATCATGCTATAACTAAAACCCAACTGTGGTAAGTGCATGCATGCAAGAGAGGCTCTGTGCTGCTATGGTAACACCACTGTTTAACTTTCTTTATAAAAAAAATGGTAAACATAAGTTGTTAAGTTCTTATAAGTTGCTATTGAGGACAAGAGAAATAGGGGGGAAAATATACAGGAAGAACTAATGTCATGTTTTCTATATCCCCAACCTAATGTCAACCATGGGCTACACCTATAACTGAGTATCACTAAAGATGTCTGTCTCAGGATCAACTTCAAGTAAAAAGAAAATCCCACCAAGGCTTTTGAATACCTTCAGGCCTCTTCGGAAAAGAAAAGTTGCCTGGCGAGTATCTTTCTGATGGCTTAATTTATTTCCACTCCTGGAAAAATTAGCTGGAAGGTTAGTTCTGCAACACAAACATATGTCATGAGTAATCTCAATTTCTTTGTTTTTAAACATTTTGAAAAAAGACAAAAGTATTTCAATTCATGCAATGAAAACTTGATGAGCATACACTAGAAAGTATGAACTCCACATTGTTTCCTTATTTATATGAAGCTACTGAATTTGATTTCCAACATCTCCCTCTGTAATACATCACATAAACACCTGGTTAACGTTTAACTGATTTATTGCTTAAATAATAATAAGGCCTCTAATAAGGCCTTTCTTCCTACATATGGTATCTTCAGAAGACATTTACAAAATCATATTTAAAATGCTATTTCCTATTCCCAAATTAGGTGAAAACATGAATTTACAGATTTACAGGATTAGTATAGAGAAAAACATCACACCTAGGATCATTCATAGTCAAAGTAAAAACAATAACAAAAAAAACTTGAAAAACAACCTCTACTCTTTCAGCTTTCTTCTCTTTTCCACACTCACAAACCTTTATATATTAACATAAGCCACAGGACTGGGGATTTAGCTCAGTGGTTGAGCACTTGGCTAGCAAGCCACAAAGGCCTTGGATTTATTTAATCCCCAGCACCACAAGGAAAAGAAAATTCTGCACTGGCATCTGTCTGTCTGTCTCTCTTGCACTCGTGCTCTGTGTGTGTGTTTGTGTGTGTGTGTGTGTGTATATATATATACACACACATTTATATATATTCACACACATATGCATCTGTGTCACACACACGGAATATATATATGCCATACAAATATGTATATGTGTATACACACACATGCATAATACACCGAAACACACACATGTTTAACAGAGAACTTACGCTCTTTCACTTTAGTATTTCATACACAGAATAATGCATACTCAATAAATTATACTTGACCTTCACCACTTTCTATTCTTTACAAGAAGTTGATAGAGTATGAAAAAAACAAATTTTCTGCATGGTGCCAATGGCTTGAGCCCATATCTTACCTACTAAGGAGCATGAGATCTGAGGATCAAAATTCAAAGCCAGCTGGACCAGCAAAGTCCATGAAACTCTTATCTCTAATTAATCAGCAAAGAGTTATGGAGCTGTGGCTCAAGCAGTACAACACTAGCCTTGAGCAAAAAAGCTCAAGGATAGTGCCAAGGCCTTGAGTTCAAGGCCCAGGACCAGCACCAAAAATAAAAATAAAGGGGCTGGGAAGGTGGCTCAGTGGTAGAGCGCTTGCCTCGCATGCCTGAGGCCCTGGGTTCGATTCCTCAGCACCACAGAAGCAAAAAGAAAAAAAAAGCCAGAAGTGGTGCTGTGGCTCAAGTGGTAGAGTGCTAGCCTTGAGCTGAAGAGCTGAGGGACAGCGCCCAGGCCCAGAGTTCAGGCCCCATGACCGGACCAAAAACAAAAATAAAAATAAATCACTTTCATCTATTCAACGAACAAATGCATAAAAGGTTACCTATCTTACCACCAACCTTATAGAGGTTCAAATGCAAAATTTCCTCAAATAGCTCAAATAACTTGTAACTCTCACCGGGCACCAGCGGCTTATATCCTAGCTCTCAGGTGGCTAAAATCTGGAGGACTGAAGTTCAAAGACGGCCCAGATGGAAAGCCCATGAAATTCCATCTCCAATTAATTAGCAAAAAGCCAGACTTAAGTGGCTCAAGTAGTAGAGTGCCAGCCATGGACAAGGCTAAGCAAAAGGCACTGAGTTCAAGGCCAATTATTGGTAAAAACAAAACCAAAAATATGTCTCATAAAAAGAAGATTTTTATTTAGGGTAGGCCTGTTTCACAGAAGATACTATACCAAATGATTTCCAAAGATGATGGTTAAGTGAAATTTTGTTCATAAAAAGACTAAAGTTCACGGTTTTATGAATTATCTTCTAAGATGTAGAGTTGTAGTTCAAGTGGCAGAATGCCAACCTTGAACAAAATAGCTTAAAGGACAGCACCCAGCCCTGAGTTCAAGCCCAGCAAACACACAAAAAAGGTATTATTTTCTTTCTTTTTTTTTTTTTTGGCAAGTCAGGGCCTGGGCACTGTCCCTCAGCTTCTTTTGCTAAAGGCTAGCACACTATCACTTGAGCCACAGAACTTTTCTGCTTATGTGGTACTGAGGAACTGAACTCAGGGCTTCATGCATGCTAGGCTAGCACTCTACCACTAAGCCACATTCCATCCCCTATTCATTTCTTAAAGATTAATTCCATGTGCTGGGAATGGGGCTTACTGGTAGAGTGCTTGCCTAGCATGAATGAAGCCCTGTGTTCAATTCTAGTACCGCATAAACAGAAAGGCCAGAAGTGGTACTGTTGCTCAAGTGGTAGAGCTCTAGCCTTGAGCACAGAGAAGCTCAAGGGCAGAACCCAGGCCCGGAGGTCAAGCCCCCGAGTCAGCAAAAAAAAAAAAAAAAAAAGAATGATACTTAAAATTGAAATAACAAGCTGGGCACTGGTGGTTCACACCTGTAGTCCTAGCTACTTAGGAGACTGAGATCTTTGGATCACGGTTCAAAGCCAGCCTGGGCAGGAGAGGCCAGGAAACTCTTATCTCCAATAAATCACCAGAAAACCAGAAGTGGCACTGTAACTCAAGTGGCAGAGCACTAGCCTGGAGCTGAAGTGCTGAGGGACAGCACTCAGACCCAGAGTTCAAGCCCCATGACCCACAAAAAAAAAAAAATAGTAATTCCACAGCTTGTCAACTTCCTTTTTGACTACTTTATCCTTATGAAGGACAGAATACCAAAATTATAACAACACACTATCATTTCTTGGTTTATGTTATGCTTTTCAATTTAGTGTAAAAATAATTTGAACCTGATAAACACTTATGCAGAATCTTTCTTTCTGGTTTTGCTTTTCCACAAATAACCTACATTGCTATTTGTAGAAACAGTAAGAAACACTGAGATTAAATAATCAATTTAGTTTTCAGAATTCTCAATTCTGATTGGCATAGTATGATTTTTATCTAATAGATAAGTTTTATAATTTTGTTCTGTAAACATAGAGAAATGATACTTAAAAAAGTTTACATAAGTTGTACTCATCAGTAATACTGTGTCTAAGAAATAAAGAAGCTGCTGCTGAATGCTTCCATGTTGTTTTAAACAAACATCTCAGTATACGTCTTCATCCCTTTTGTGGTGCTGGGAATTTACTCAGGGCTTCATGCATGAGGCAAATCCTGAACTCCAACCAAATATTTGTTTTGAAAATGATCAGATAAGAAGAATCATTGTAAATCAATTCTTCTAAACCCTAAGTAGAAAAATGTTATTTGTTTATGTCCATTACTGCCACGAATTTGAGTACTTACTTTCTGTTTAACTGGTTAGGCCTCTTGAGAACTGCAACTGGTTTCCTTTGTGCTTCATTTTGTCTCAGAAGGTTTGTCTTCCTTTTTAACACTGGAAAATATCGCTCTATATTCTTTCAGAAAGTAAGAAACTATGTTAATCAATTTCCTTTTTTTCCCTTTAAATCCTAATACAGTAAACATTTCTAATGTAGAATGATACAGACTAACAAATTCTTGAATGTGGAGATCAAAGAGATGAAGAAATTAAAATGACCTGAAAAAAATCTCTTAAATGGCTGAAAAGAAAGATGACAGTCAAACATAAAACACCTGGGGGTACTCTGGGGGCTGCACATCCTACCTTGTCACTGAGAGGAGGACGATTCATAGGACTAATTCCTTTTCGAATTCCAGGTGTTTTCCTAGCCGCAAGGCCAGTGACAACTCCATAAGGACGTCTCTTTGCAGGTATTATTCTTCCTCTACGGTTAAGATTACTTTTACCAAAGCCTATAGAAAGAAAAGAAGAAACAGTATTAACATAAAAATGTAACTGGTAGAATCACAGAATACAGAATACTCTATTTTCTGAAGCAGGATGGATATTCTTATTTACATGTTATGTGTATATTCAAGTTACATAACACTTTTCTCATTTATTTATTTATTTTTGTGTTAGCTCTGGGGCTTGAACTCAGGATCTGGGCACCGTCCCTGAGCTTTTGTGCTTAAGATTACTGTTCTACCACTTGAGTCACAGCTCCATTTTTTACTTTTTGGTGGTTAACTGAAGATAATAAGAGTCTCTGAGGGGGGCTGGGAAGGTGGCTCAGTGATAGAGCACATCCATGAGGCCCTAGGTTCGATTCCTCAGCACCACATAAGCAAAAAGAAAAAAACCGGAAGTGGCGCTGTGACTCAAGTGGTAGAGCACTAGCCTTGAGCTGAAGAGCTGAGGGACAGTACCCAGGTCCAGAGTTCAGGTCCCACAACCGGACCCAAAAAAAAAAAAGAAAAGGGGCTGGGAAGATGGCTCAAAGAAAAAAACCGGAAGTGGCGCTGTGACTCAAGTGGTAGAGCACTAGCCTTGAGCTGAAGAGCTGAGGGACAGTACCCAGGCCCAGAGTTCAGGCCCCACAACCGACCAAAAAAAAAAAAAGCCGGAAGTGGCGCTGTGGCTCAAGTGGTAGAGTGCTAGCTTTGAGCTGAAGAGCTGAGGGACAGTGCCCAGGCCCAGAGTTCAGGCCCTACGACCGACCAAAAAAAAAAAAAGCTGGAAGTGGCGCTGTGGCTCAAGTGGTAGAGTGCTAGCTTTGAGCTGAAGAGCTGAGGGACAGTGCCCAGGCCCAGAGTTCAGGCCCTACGACTGACAGAAAGAAAGAAAGAGAGAAAGAAAAATAAAGAAAAGGAAGGAAGGAAGAAAGAAAGAAAGAAAGGAAGGAAGGAAGAAAGGAAGAAAGAAAGAGTCTCTCAGACTTTCCTCCCCAGGCTGGCTTTGAATCTTTTTTTTTTTTTTGCCAGTCATGGACCTTAACTCTGGGCCTGGGCACTGTCCCTTAGCTCTTCAGCTCAAGGCGAGTGCTCTAACACTTGAGCCACAGCACCACTTCTGGCTTTTTCTGTTTATGTGGTGCTGAGGAATCGAACCCAGGGCCTCATGCATGCAAGGCAAGCACTCTAGCACTGAGCCACCTTCCCAGCCCATGGCTTTGAATCTTGATCCTCAGATCTCCTTAGCCTCTTGAATAGCTAGAATTATAGAAGTTAGCCACTGGCACCCAGCTTTTTGTTGTTGTTTTGGTCAGTCATGGGGCTTGAACTCCGGGCCTGGGCACTGTCCCTTGAGCTGTCTTCAGCTCAAGGGTGAGTGCTGTACCACTTGAGCCACAGCATCACTTCTGGTTTTCTGGTGGTTAATTGGAGATAAAAGTCTCTTGGGACTTTCCTGCCCAGGCTGGCTTTGAACCCCACTTCTCAGATCTCAGCCTCCTGAATAGCTAAGATTACAGGCGTGAGCCACTGGCACCCAGCAACATTTAATTTTTAAATAATCAATAAGTTGCACTGGCAAGGATTCTATGCTTGTACTAGACTGCTCAAGGACTAGAATGTCCCTTTTAAAAGCTGTCCCCTGGGGCTGGGAAGGTGGCTCAGTGATAGAGTGCTTGCCTTGCATGCATGAGGCCCTGGGTTCGATTCCTCAGCACCACATAAGCAGAAAAGGCCGGAAGTAGTGCTGTGGCTCAAGTGGTAGGGTGCTAGCCTTGAACTGAAGAGCTGAGGGACAGCGCCCAGCCCAGAGTTCAGGCCACACGACTGACAAAAAAAAAAAAAAAAAAGCTGTCCTCTTTCTGTGGCTCTTTTCTCTTTTTATTATGCAGTGCTGGGGATGAAAAACAGAGCCTAAGGCATGTCAGCCAAGTGCTATACCCCAGCAGCACCTGTCATTATTCTCTCAACAGGACAATCTAGACAGTAGCCAATATTTATATGTAGCTACTGAGTAGTACCTAGTATAAACTGAGATATTATAAATAATGTAAAATATTTCATTTATTTTTGTTATTATATAATGAGATGGTAATATTTTGAATTTAATATGAGGTTAACATTTCACTATTACTGAATAGTGTTCATCGATAGTACAGTCATGATCTCATCTCCCATTTACTACTTTGCCATCTACTTTCAGTCCTTTTCTATTCAAAATGCTTTTGATAAAGTCTGTAGTGTCAATGAACATATTTTAATCTCTGTGGCATGTAACATTACTTTCAGTTTCCACTATGTACCTTACAGATTTAAATTCTTTTGCTCTAATAATTTTTAAAAAGCTGAGTGTAGGTATTCTATATTTTGGTTTCTGCTTTACTTAAATAATTCATAAAGACTACCATGAAGGGGGTAAAATTGGAACATAGTGTGAATAGGTTTGGAGATGTAACAGTGAAATCTCCATTTGTACAATCTATATAAACTAATAAATAAAGTGAAAAAAAATAAAGACACTCATATGGGACTATTCAGTATTTAGTACTAGTATGTAGGTGAATTGAATCAATCACAACTGTATTTCATACTCTATATACTATTTTATAGCCTATATTAACACTTCCCAATAACACTACTATATCAACACTACACTATATCATTTTATTGCCTTATTTCATGGGTCATATTTGATCTAATCAACTACTTAATCATTTCAGTTATTTGTAAATTTTTATGCACAGCTATGATTATTTCCTCAAAATATAACTTTCTAGAAAGTGAAACGTTGTGTTAAAGAGTAAAGCAAATTATTTTTTGAAAGTTTTTTTTTGTGGGTCATGGGGCTTGAACTCTAGGCCTGGGCCCTCTCCCTCAGCTCTTCAGCTCAAGGAGTTCTCTACCACTTGTAGAGCCACTTCTGGTTTTCTGGTGCTTTATTGGAGATAAGAGTCTCACGGACTTTCCTCCCAGGCTGGCTTTGAACTGCAATCCTCAGATCTCAGCCTTCTGAGTAGCTAAGAGTACAGGCATAAGCCGCCAGTGCCCGCTTTTCTGAAAGTTTTATGAGCATACATTATACAGGTGGCATTTCACTGTGACATTTCCACAGAGGTATACAATGTATCCTATCAATCTCAGCCCTAATGTTATATAGTCTCCTACTCTCCTGAAATTTTTTTTCCAGAAGTACCAGAGTTTGAACTCAGGTCTTAACACTTATTAGCAAGCACTCTACTACTGAGCCACATCCCCAGTCCTGAGTCATATATATATATACATATACATATATGGGTTTTTTAATTAATTTTTTTTTCCTGTACTGATACTTGAACTTAGAGTCTCATGCTTGCTTGTTGTCTGGCTTGCTCAACTGGTGGTCTACAACCTGAACATCACAGTCCTGCTTTTTGCTGGTTATTCTGAAAATGGAGTCTGGTGGACTTTACTGCCTGAGCTAGTATGAAATCGCCAGCTTCTGTATGTTAACCTCTTGAGTAGATATGATTACAGATATTAATCACAGGTGCCCCGTGAATTCTTAAAAAAAACATTATTTTTACTAGTATACATTAGTTGTGTGTGTAGGGGGTTATCATGGTATTTCTACACATGTATATAATGTATTAATTAATCTTAGTACCCATTTATCATTCTCCCTTACTCCTCCCCCCTTCCTAAAACAATTTCAATAGGTTTCATTGCTCTGTTTACATACATGCAAATAAAACTACTTTGACTATATTCATCCTCACTCACTCTCTTTGTTAGCTCAGTTCAGCTCTCACCTGGATCTCCCTACCCCCAGAGCCTAATCTATTTCTCCCCACTTCAATCACTTCTTATTGATCATAGCTTTCATTGAGGGTCTTTATGCTACGAGTTAAGCAAACTCTTAGGGAATTTTCTTTTATTATTTATTTATTTATTTATTTTTGGTCAGTCGTGGGGCTTGAACTCTGGACTTGGCCACTGTCCCTGGGCTCTTCAACTCAAGGCGAGCGCTCTACCGCTTGAGCCACAGCGCCACTTCCAGTTTTCTAGTGGTTTATTGGAGATAAGAATCTTACAGACTTTCCTGGCTTTGAACTGTGATCCTCAGATCTCAGTCTCCAGAGTAGCTAGGATTACAAGCATGAGCCACCGGCACCCAGCCTGGGAATTTTATTTATGTTTCAAAATTCCTACTGGAACGAGCTCCCAGGAACATAAAGAAAAGTGCCAATTCTATATTATTGACAACTCACTATGTTATCTTTTTTAAAAAGTTTTTATTTAAAACACCTTGTATGAAAACAAGCCTGGGTAAAAGAGTAATACTAGAGGTATAAAACCACATTTTATACTACAAAGCCATAGTAACAAAAACAGACCCAAAGATCAATGGGACAGAATAAAGACTTAGCAATAAAACCATACTGGGAAAGTTGGAGCTGCTTCAACAAACACTGCTAGCAACTTCATGAACCCTCCTGGTTCACGAAGCTAAAGGACACTCAAAAAAAATTTTTTTGGTGCCAGTCCTGGGGCTTGAACTCAGGGACTGGGCACTGTCCCTCAGCTTTTTGTTTGAGGATAGCACTACCACTTGAGCCACAACTCTACTTCCAGCTTTTTGGTAGTTAATTAGAAATAAGAGACTTTCGTGCCTGAGCCAGGAGTTGGTGGCTCATGCCTGTAATCCTAGCTACTCAGGAGGCTGAGATCTGAGGATCACAGTTCAAAGCCAGCCCAGGCAGAAAAGTCCGTGAGACTCTTATCTCCAGTAAGCCACCAGAAAACCAGAAGTGTGGCACTGTGGCTCAGTGGTAGAGCGCTCACCTTGAGCTAAAAAGCTGAAGGACAATGCCCAGGCCCAGAGTTCAGCCCCATGACTGACAAAAAAAAAAAAGAGAGAGAGAGAGAGACTTTCCTGCCTGGACTGCCTTTGAACCTTAGTCCTCAGATCTCTGCCTCCTGAGTTATCTAGAATAACAGGCATGAGTCACCGGTATCTGGCTCTCATCTTAATATTGATTTTG